GCAACGTCGGGTCATGGCAGAAACCAGAATGGTACGGTTGCCATACACCATCCCATTACAATTCATTCATGTCTTTATCTAGGGCAGTGGGTCTTCATCTGTACTGGGGGAGGAACCTCTTGGCAGCGCACGACACCGAATGGAGGAGACACCGTAAAATCATGCAACCAGCTTTCAATCCCAAAACATACGAGATGGTCTGGGACGAAACACTACGGTTATACAACCAAATGTTGGCATTCGAAAAGTTTCCCACGAAAAAGGGAGAAAAGTTGTCGTTCCCCGCGTTCCAGGATATTACGCAGCGGATAGCTCTGTGCATTATCCTATCGTGTGGATTTGGAATACCGTTTGATTGGGATGAGAGGGACATGCCGTCTACGGAGGAAGGGTTTAGGCTCGATAATGGTGTTCGTGTGCAGAGCGACAACATGATGTGGGTCTGCTATGCGCCGAACTGGCTCTATAAGCTACCAATCAAAAAGTGAGTAACGTCTAATTGCGACAAGATGACCTCTAACTCATCATTTCCCGTATGAAGGATGAGGTATATCGGTGAAGGAACCAAAGGACTGCGCGCTTGGTTCCAAAGAGCGATGCTCAACAAGAAGACAGAAATTGAAGAGAAGGTTCGTTCAAACGGCGGAGAGATGGATCTAGACCAGTTCCGCAACGATGTGTTCACCCGTCTAAACTTGGCCAACTATATCGACAGAAAGATGGACTTTACCGATTCCGAAATCGTGCGTCCATAAATTTTGGAACTTATTTCTCGTCTTATCTCTGTGTATAGATTGGGAATACGTGGGTCATTTTCTTTGCGGGACATGAGACGACTGCGGGTTCGTTGGCGGCCACCTTTTGTCTCCTCACTTCACACCCAGAAGAGCAAGAAGTCGTATACAAAGAAGTGACAGAGCTCATGGCCAAGAACGGAACGGAACAACTATCGTTTGACGACTATGACTCGTTGCCCAAGACCCGAGCCGTCTTTATAGAGGCACTAAGGATGTATCCTCCCGCGAACATTGCGATCAGAGAGTGCGTGGAGGATACCATTCTAAAGGTGCCATTCGTCGAGGACGATGGAACGGTTCGAGAAGACAGCATCCCAATCCCAAAGGGTACCATTATGGTCAACGACTTTATCGCAATGCGTATGTACCTCTTCATCTCATGGTAGCTATTGTAGATTGACTACTTGACTCGCAGAATACAATCCCCGCTTGTACCCAGAGCCGCACCTCTTCAAACCGTCTAGGTGGTACAACTCTACTTCAGATGACGCGTATACGGTGTTCTCTGTAGGACCACGGACCTGTATAGGACGAAAGTTTAGTTTGACAGAGGGTGTATGTTGGATCGCGCACTTATTGAGGAACTTTACGGTCGAACCCTTGCTTTCGCAAGGTGAGAGTGTGGAGAGTTGGAAGGAGAGAGTGTTGGAGAACGGTACCTTTAAACTCTCGTTCGCGTTGAAGGACGCGCCGCTCGTCTTCAAGAGGCGTTGAGTTTCGTGTAGTCTACTGATCGAATTCGGTCGCTATTATCGCATATCTCGTGCTGTATATTTATAGAATACCCCTTTCCTCTGAAGAAGTGACTAAGCGAACATAAAGTGTCGTGCCAAGTGAGCAATGGGATGAGGGACGTGAAGAGGGATGCATACAACTTTTCGACATTGGAAGCTAACGACGCGTAGTGAGCGCGTGTAATAGCTCTATTCATATATTACAGCCGAAATGCAAGTCGATGTTAATTTCTCGATGGGCCATCGAGTGATTGTGCGTGCCCTCGAGTTGGAGGGACGAGAGGGACATGGCCAGAGGGACGTCCCTCCTGGTACATCTCAAGGAGAAAATAAGTGAGGCTGGGATAATTTGCTATTCCTGGAGGATTGCTCAAAAGTACAATTGGGACGTCCCTTTTGACGATTCAGAGCAGCGGCACTCTTCCTCCAATATCGCTCCGTGAAGGAAATTCTAACTCATAATCATCTCTTTGCATCTTTTTACATTGGATTCTGGTCAGTATATCATGTGTACACTCGCCTCTCTGTGACACTTTACTCGAGGTAGGCGACCAGCATCGAACCTCTTCCATATCTTGACGTAATCAAGCTTATTTCATGATATTCATGCACTTCACTCTTACTATTTTTTGGAAATCGACTTCCATCGTGCTGGCTCTGATCACCCAACGTCGCTATTACCTCAGAATGCACCACTATCACCATTTGAAGCTACTATTCTGATTGTAGACTCTTCTTTGTAACCCATGC